GCATTAGTCGACGATGTATCTCGACTTTCTTTCACGTTATTCCATTTTCCTGCTACCGAACCGTTCGTTTGTGATTTTATTGTAGTATGTCCGCAACCCTTAATAGATTTGTCCTTTTCTACCTCATTTATGTCAAAATCATTTACAGATCTGTTTTAAGAAATTGTGTCGATAAGTATTTTACGTGAAATTAAAGTATGATTAAAGAAAAATACACTTTTGAGTGTAATCGACCATACCCCACCCTCTCGATGAGTTGTATGTCACTGTGCGATACTGTACTTCCATTACTGTGTATAAATTTCTTGTCGCTTTTGTCTGACGGTGAATTATTTGATACATTGTGTTTATTATGCTGCTCTTCCTGCTTTTCACTCTTGTCTAAGGATTTTCTATGAGTACTTTTGGTAGTAGCAGTCTGTGTTTGTGATGTAACCGGGCTACTAGTGTGTACTCCGCCATTTTGTACGGTCGTTTCTATGGAATTGTTATTGCCCTCTAAAAGAACAAGCAGAAACATAAAAATGCGTGTAATCACGGAAATTATAGCAATATTGTATTCACATGGGACAATAGTTGATAATAAATACAAGCTACCTCTGCTTTTTTCAGGGCTTGGATTGTACTGTGGACTCAATTTGTGTGTTTGAGTTTTCACATGTTGCTCTAACGACGCAGTGACCTGCTGTGTCTGTGGCTGCATTTGCGGTTGAATTTGCTGCATTGACATAGCTTGTTGCTCTAGAGGCAGTGCTTGCTGCAGTAATTGTAGGTAGAACTCGTTCTCCTTTGCCACATCTTTTTGTTTTCTCTATCGAGAGCAAGAATGAATTGAAATAAATATAATCGCCATGATAAATATCTTATTGTACAGAAGATGTATTTGTAATAAATCAATGTAAGATTGTTGAAGATTACTAACCTGCCTCATTCTGTAGCCTACATAGCTCTTGAAACCAAAGCCCAATGTAACTACAGGATAGCCAATGCTAGAAATACGCAATGCAGAAAACTTTACTTGGAGCAAATGGAC